GCACTTAAGTGTCCAAAAAATATTACTAATATTTTACGATTTTCGAAATAGTAGAAAAATTATAGTATACGAACACTACACAACTTCATCTGTACTTCCAGGAGTATTATTTAGTATGTTTTGTTTTTAGAGCTATTAAGATATTATTATGAAATAAGATATGACTAAAACAGAGTTTTTTCCAAGTTCTGAAACATTTCTAATACTTATAATATATTTTGTGTGTGCTACTTTATTATATGACTTTTCTCACCACCGACATAATTATATCTATTTAGAAAATCCTTTCTATTAGCTATCTAAAACTATTACTTCTCATTATTGTAATTATGTATAATTTAGTTTTATCTACCAAGTATTATCTGTATGTCGTGCCCTGCCAAATTTGAAGCTCAGAGTCAGCGTTCATTTGCCAACTGACACAAAGCCGTACTTGGCTTTTAGGTTCGCACATTTTTGTAGCGTTTTGTAAATTTTCTGTGAAAATTTTATTAACAAATTCACTTGCTGTGTTTATATTAGAACGACATCATGAACCAGCTATAGAATAATTGAATAAATTGTATTTTATTTTTGTTTTGTTAAATATCAATACTACTCTGTTTGTAAGGGCATTATTTGTTGCATACTTTTATATTATTCTTTTTGTGTGTATAGAACCTAATCTATATATTATAAACAATTATTTCTATTATAATTTTTATTCAATTTTAGTATAATAGAAGTTTTAGTCTCATTATAATTTTTTTTTATTGTTAATTTAATAATTCTAATTAAATTTTAACGATTCTATAAACACAGAAATAAAAACAAAAAAGTGCTAAGCCATCATGAAAAGTGCTGCCAAAGTTTTTGGCATAATCCATTCTCTTAGACCCACAGACAGAGAATGTCAAAATTCATTTGACAAACACAAACAAAAAAGACATAAAGGAAATTTACTCAAAAGGAAAAACTTTCATTAACCAATAAAAATTTTATTAAGCGAAGATAAAAACGATAAGAAAAACATGATAAAAACAGAAATTAACAAAGAAAGTGTCAGTCGACACACATTCTTACATATGTTTGTACAAAAATTAAGGAAATTTAATTTCATTCTTATAAACATACAAACACGCACACAACCACACACACGCATACATGCATATGAATACAGACTTTTTTTGGTAAGTAAATCATAGCAAATATTTGCATATTATGTTGATGTTTTTGCTTTAAAATCTACTTGAGAAAGTAGATTACATATACACATACATATGTGCAAACACAAATTACTACAGTTGGCAAACATTCATACACACTTAAACATACGCCTGTGTGTATATGTATTTATTGCCGCACTTTTCTAAGCTCATCATATTTGTCATAATATTTTTTTTTTGCTTCTGTCGCTGTCAAGTGTGGTGTGGTTTCAATTATGGCATGCGTAATGCATGCATATTTTATTAAAAGCTTTCTACACATACTTAATTCTATTTGTGCTTGCTTGTCTTCTTCTCCTTGCCTTTCAACAGTTTGCAACAAGCAAACAAATAAAAGAAGAAAAAAGCAACAACATCGCCAAAAACAATAATAATAACAACACACAAAATACGGTACAGCACATGCATAAGCTACTCTGCGCTGTTTACGATTACTTAATCTTTGGTCTATTCTTGCACGGAATTTGCGCTTGTTTGCTTGTAAAAATGACTTCAACGCTTCTTTAAACCCACCACCACCGCCAACAAGCATACGCAATGATAAACGTTGAATGTTTTTATGTTTTTTTTTTTTTTAATTTTACTTATTGCCTCAATCGAGATAAGTATGTAGACTTAAGAACAGAATATAAAAAAAAAGACAATCAAAAAAAATTTATTAAAATGCTTAATAAAAAAAAAATTATAACATAAGCTCTTCGCCAACACTTTAGGCGTTGGACAACATAAAGCAAAGAACTCACCAACGGAGATGGTTAAATATGCAATAGCCATTTAACAATAACATTAAATACAACAAAAAATAATGGTGATTTCTTTAATAAAACTAAAATAAAAATTTATTAAAAAAAAATTATTATAACAACTAGATTGCAACAAGAAGCATTTAGCTACGATAGTAACAATAACGAAAATAATGCCAACAACAATGAAAGCAGCATTAATAAAATCAACAACAATCATAGCAACAACAATAGAAGCATCAGCAATAAAAGCCACAACAACAACAACAATATACACATAAATGTTATGATAATATTAAGTCCAAGCTTTCCAAAGCGATGTAGCATCGAAAATAGAAGAAAGCAGCATTACGTAGCAGCGCAAATGACGCAGCTAAAGTACGCAATAACCACTTGTATGAGAAAAGGAAATATATATATACCTATATGTGCGTATTCATGTATGTGTGTTTATGTATATATACATGTTAGTATATAATAATTAAATTAATTAAATTTAATTAATAAATTAAATTTGTTGTAATAGTTTATTTTTTATATATGGGCACGATTCAGATTTCTTGTGAACGCCGATTTTGCAATGGATCTTAGTAAAGACAGCTATTTTATGCCATGTTTCCATTGCTTACTTACTTAAGATACTTAAGTAACCTAAAGATTTTGTCGTTTCCATTGACATAAGTTGCTTATTGCATGTAAAAAGGCTCTCACATATCAGAAAGTTCTTTGAATGAGTTGAGAGAGCTTTTGTTTCTTCAGAAAAATTTCACTCAATATATTACACAAAAAATTAAATATAGGTATAATTGATATATAAAATCATTTATATATATATATATTCTGACACACAACAAATATGTTATTGTCAATTTAGACTTTAAGTAAAATTCTATAATTTTTGAGTCAATCAAATATCTATATATATAATACATATGTATACATAAAGTTTTCGAGCAAATGAAACATATGTTTCAAAATTCGAATATTAGACATTTCAAAATTTCGAAATTTATTATTTTTACTTATAATCAATATCAAATCTATACACTACTTGCCGATAGGTGACATATTTAGTTTTTTTAAACCTCTATAACTGGACAAATAAGAAATATTAGCATATAGAGTAGTATATGTTTCGGATTTCAATAAATTTTAACACAGGTGCATAGAGATGAAAACTTGTTTAGTTGGGAAGTCCCTCAACAGAACAAAGTCTAACTATTTTCACAGACGACTCTACAATTGTTGCAGTGAAGTTTACCTGAAGGGACTGAACAAATCTATTTATAATAGACTTCCCGCCCATTACAGTGTTCAAGTTACAGGCGGAGGTGATCGCTATTAGAGATGCTATAACTTATCTGGAAGTAAATAATATATAAATTAATAATACCAGATATACTTGTTATGAAACATTCAAGCTGTTTTAAAGTATTTGAGTTCAATCGAATTTACATCCAAGACAGTTTCTGACTGCTACACATCTCTAAAATAGATGTCGATACAGTTGTCGACATTTTTGTACTTTGGGTTAACGGTCATAGGCATATTTTTGTGGTTTTTAAACCTCTGAGTTTCTGATACGGTAACACAAAATCTAATATTATATACGACTATATACATTAGTGTGATTGGAAACACACTCTAATTATTTTACAAATGGCAAGGCATGTTGGATATTTTTACTAGCACCATCAGAATTCTCATTTGGTTGTCAGTAGTATTGTATTCAAAATATGTGAGATTATAATTAATAAATATTTTACTACCTTTTACATTGCAAGAGTGTTTTACTTAAAAAACATTAATATGATTTAAAATCTGAACACATTATTTTAGCTTCTAAGATTCCTCCTTCTGAAGAAGGCATAATTATGTATTAATTTTTCAGACTTCTTCTTTTTAAGTAGCTCAAAATCTGTATCCTGACTTGCTTATAGTTGTCATATTATTTTTTATGGGGAAATAAGAATATTAATCGTTTATTCAAAATTATGATTTTAGAGACGCCTTAATTTAAAAACTATTTTTAGGGACGGTCGTTAAGTACATATCAATATAAAATATCAATATCAATATAAAAACTTGACAACTAAAAACTCCGATGTCTGAAGAAATACGCTATATCTGCATAAAGCGTAATGAATAGCCAGTTTTATTTTTTCCAGTAAGAGGAACGTATTGAAAACCACTATGAGAGACTTGAACCCACTAAAAACACCTCTTAGGGAAATGCAAAATGAACAAATTTCAGCCATTGGACCATAAAGGTCAAAAGCTACAACCCCACTGCAGAAATCAAGGGAAAGGCAGACATTAGAATACATAAGGCTTAGTATTTAGACGACAAATATATCTATTATTGCTAGTTAGTCGTAAACTTACCATCATATATAGTACCTTCAAATAAGAAATATTGAGAACTCTCTGAAGTAGAAGAATGTGTATTATTCTATAAAGAAAATTTTTAATGATATAATATAAATTAATTTTTGAGATTAAGCAACCTCGGAACTTTTCGGATTTATATACTAATTGCCAATCACAATCTAAATTTATTACTAATTTTTAAATAAAACTCTTAAGTATAATTACTACACTTATAATTAATAATATAGTTAATATAATACAATATAATTTTTATTTATAGAAGAGATTTATAAGAAATTTATTTATAAAAATACAATATATATTTTTGAACATTAATTCAATACTTATTTAGGACTAACTCTAGTACTAAAAATCAGAACTACTAAAAAAGAAAAAGCAAAAACATACTTATTTAAATAAATGCATTATTGTCTGCATAAGTGAAAGAGATGACAGAACAATAGAAAAAATAAAAGCTCTGCATAACATGGCCCTTATGGAAAATATATACGAACGATAAGGAAAATTAGTAAATAAAAAATCAAAAAATTTAAACTATTCTATACGTTATAGCTTAAACGAAAGAAAGAGATGACTACATATATAATAGAATTAATTATGAATAGACTATATAAATACTAGAAATAAAATGTTCTAAATAAAATTTAGAATCTAAAACTGTCAAAATTTTTCATTCACTAATCTAATTCCATAGAATTCAAACCATATTTTTTAAGTTTCTTCCAAATTGCAATAGTTTCAAATTATTTTGGAACCACTGTTAATAAAAAAAGCTTTGCCATCGAAGCTGACTTCGATAACTCGTCTATCAATTCGAATACAATGGACTCTTCCGACAACATTTTCTTCACCAATTTTACTGTAATTGGTCCCATTGAAGATAATCTCTTTCCAAAATATGTTAAAGACTTGGCTGCGGTTGCAGGTGTTAAAGGCTATGTTTTCTTCGATAGTCACCGTGACGTGTATGTTGGACATATTGAGGGTTCATTGGAAAAATTGCAAAAGTTCGAAAAGTTCTTTCGTCTACAAGTTAATTTCTATCTACTGAAACTTTTATTCGATGACCCAAAAGAAACCCGTAGCCTTTATTGTAACACCTTTGAAGTCTTAACCTTCGAGTAAGCACTACAATAATATTCTTTGTATTTTTTTTTTGTTTTGACATAATTTTTTTGATTTTTTTTATAAGAAATATATGGGATACATATAACGGTGCCAACTAATACGTTAGCAGCCTGCATACCGTAATAAAAATTAATACAATAATCTAATAAGAGATCCTAAGTGTCGAAACCATGTACCGCACAACTAATGACGATGGCCTTGTGAGTAAATTTGTCAGTCCAAATAATTGTAATTCTTCATCTGTTTTGTTACTACATACTTTTCAATAAAACACAAATAGAAACTACAGATCTTTCTGATTTGAGTATTTTGATATATTATAATACATATATTTGGTGGAATAAAAAGTAAATTTTTGGTGTGTTTTAGCACATTTATGAATAATTTTTTTTTATTAAAAATTAATTTTAATAAGGTTTATATTGCTTGTTTGATATTTTTCTTATGCCTTCATAATTTCATGATTTGTAGAGTTTTTTTTCACCATTAAGAGAATTTTGTAGCGACCATAACAAATTATGTTATATATGACAGATGATTGATCTTTAGTGCCTCCATTATCTCCTTATAGTTTAGGTGTCTATCCTGCTCCACCGGTTACAAAATGTAATCGACATTTTAAGTGACAATTCTTTGTTGAGTGCTTTCTGTGCTGAACAATTTAGGAAACCATGGGAATACTGAACGATATGTAGACATTTATATGCCACATTCCTTTAATAAAATACTATACTCTCATTGAGATGTCGCATAAAGATATTAGTTTTGTAGTAGGTTTGTTGACGGGTCACAACTGTTTAAGGTACCAAGGTAGAAGATTAATAGAAGATAAATTTTAAACATTCCTTTCGCAGTTGTAGAGAGCACTTCGAAAGTGTCGCACGTTTGCTGTATCACTGCAAAAGAAATGCATGTGAGGCTCCAAGTTATTTTATATGAGCTTCTTTTTTTTGAGAATCTTATCCAGTTGTAGGACCTCTTTTCAAAGAGCATTTTAGACTTTAACAAAGGCTTAAAGTAATTTTCAAACGTCTAAATTTTTATGCGGATCTTAACATCTACATGTTTAGGAACGTCAGTATAACCTTACGTGACCTAGCGAAAAAACGCCGAATACTTTTTATACCACCCAACATTAAGTAGATGCTGAATGCTGAAATATGCTATAATCGCTTTTGCTAATGTCTAAAGCGTAGGTTTTTATCAGTATATAATTGGATAATTATGTTTAGGATGAACAAGTTAAAATATGTTGAATGTTTATATTGGAGTAAATACAACTCTGCGGCAATGCCTGACTTTAAGTAATAGAAGTGTGTGAATGGTTGTAAAAGTTTTAGGAATTAATTATGAATTATGAATTAAGTCTTGTTAAATATAGATTTTTATAATATATAAAATAATAACTTTATAAATAACTATATATAAAAAAGCTTTTATAAAGTAATTTTCTTTATAGAAACTTTTTAATTTAATGCAATCTCTCCCATTAGGATAAAGTTTTTTCTTAAGGCACTTTCTAGAGCAGAAAATATAGTTGACGTATAGAAAATATATATGTCACGTGAGCATATCGCTTCACTCCTAATATGTAACTGTTTTTTTTTTGTATTAGTGTATCAACTAGGATTAAACGTTTATTTAGGCACTCCTTAGAGCAAGAAATATTATTCTAAATGAGTCACATGAGCGTATCTTTTCTCTTCTAATATGAAGATCTCTTTATATGTGATCTTTTTTGCTTCGAATCATGCATGTGTGTGTGCTATGGCGCCTGAACATAGCGTGTTTTGCCTTACGAAGCTATTTACACTCATTTTCTTTTTCTGTAAAGAAACAAAAAATGAAAAATTATGACGTTTGTAAAAGCGTCACAGTGAGGTGCTATACGAGCATAGCTTTTACGTTGAGGCGGACAATAGCCGTTGTTTTTTTTTTAACGCTAAGTAAAAACTACACAGCAATCATTATTCTATTATTATTATTTACTAAGAAAATGCTCATCGTCAAAGAGCTGTAAAAAAATCTAAGTCTCTCAGTTTATCAAAGCTTTATTCAGGGGCTTTATAAACTGAAGCTTTATCAATTTTTTTATAGAAAAATAAAATTACCATATGTCAACTATAGACTCGTAGCATTTTCAGAGATTCCTTTTTTAAAACCATTTTCCTTTTCATTGAGGCGAAAATACATGTAAAATATACATATGTAAAAGCAAGACTTTTTTTGATAATTGATAAGAGCCTATATTATATATTTAGGCTTTAAGGTTATGCTGAAGTCACACAAAAGTCCATAAATAAGCACACATATACACACACACACAAACGCATGTATTGATATGTCATTTCAATGAAGTAGCAAATACTCACACGCCCACTTCAAAAATGTCGTAACACTTCCACTTTGGTTTTGTTTCTAAAGTTTTGTTATTGTTTTTGTTTTTATTTTTTTTTTTTTTGTGTTTAGTACATGTTAAAAACTTTTCAAACATTTTTTCTTCTTCATATCACAAGTTCAAAATAAACTCATACTTATTCATATACAGACTTTTCTTGTTAATATTTTCTTTGGAAAAAAAAGAAAACAAAAAAACAACAGAAAAACTAAAGAAAATCAAGAAAAAGTTCAACAACACAAATTAAAAGTGCAAAAGAAAAATAAAAGAAAACTTTTGTGTTAACATGTGTAAACATAAATTGAGTTAATTTGTCAAACACCATCAATAAACAAAAACAAAAAACATGCAGATACACACACATACACACACTTTACACCTACAGTTCATATAAGTAAAGAATATGATATTTGCATTAACGTAACATTTATATCAAATGCAGCGTCATCATTACCCAGTAGAAAAAGTGGTCTTCGAAGACATTGTCTTCAAGACGGTCTTTGATACCGCGTCCGCATGTTCAAGCAAATTTGCAAAACAATTGCTCAGAACATGAATGTAAATACTCTTTCTTTGCTTTCTCTCTCATTTTTAGTGTTCATAGCAACATATTTGAATTTTGCCTCAGATGACGCTATGTTTTATAAGCGAAGTGACGCAATAATTTTGAAGTGTAGTGAATAAACATTTGTGAAATAAATATTAAAAAAATCAAAATGAATAAAGAAACAAAATCATTAAACTATGAAATATTAAAAAAAAGAAATTAAATCAAAACAAATGAAATATTGACTTAGTTCCTGGAAAATATATTGATATTAATATTAAAGACAATAATTCCAGTGAAAGTTGTTTAAGAAACAAAACAAAGGATGTTGAAAATAAAAAAACTAAAAACACTTGTGAAAAATTAGCTGTTATATTAAAAAAACACAGGATTAACAGGCATTGTGGTAATGATATTTTAGAACTCTTAAGATCAGAAGGTTTAATTGTACCAAAATCCTCTTCAACGCTTTTGAAAACATATAAAACTTCAACATTTGATGATAGCGAAATGCTATAAATTATTTTATATTAGTTTTAGTTAATTTTAGATATGCTAAGTTATATTAAGTTAATTATTTAAATTAATTTTCATTATGTTTACTAGTTTTTACTAGTTTATTATTAATATCTTAATAAAATTTATAATAATTTATAATAAAATTTATAATTTATTTTTAAAACTTTTAATTTTGAATGTAATTTAAGAAATTATTATATAAAATAAATAAAAGTACAAAATACAACAATTTCTTTCTACTTATTTAAAGAGAAAATTGAAATTCATTTAAAATTTAAAGAGCGCAATAAAAGAGTAGAAATAAAAAAAGGGTGAAAACATTATATGAGCACTGCACTAAGAGCGCACAACTTTCTGTCGAATGCGTCCGTTATGCAAGACATGGTCTTCGAGACGGTCTTCGAGACATGTACACAAAAATTCATTGAAGACATTTGGCTAATTTGTATGAAAGTGTCTTCAAAGACCGTCATACATTTGGATCGATCGGTCTTCATGTATGTATCCATGTCTTGAAGACGTCTTCGATGACGGATCGATCCGTTTTCTACTGGGTAGCTACGCTCACCACCACTACCACCAACACAGTTCTTATTACACATTGCACTTAAGCTTTGATGTTATTCTTGTTACTTTGTTGTTGTATTCCTTATTGTTGTTGTTGTTGTTGCAGTTGTAGTTGTAAGCTTACCATCATTGCTCTGTGGTTGAATTAGTTTATTTATATATTTTTTGTTAATTTTTCATGAGTGTTCTACTTTTAAGCAATCGCACTTATGCTTATTCATATACAACAACAACAACAATAATAATACTAACAACCACATGCTCCCTACGTACGACTTATGTTTGGTTAATTTAAAAATACACTTTGCAAATATTCTTGTGATAAATAAATTCACTCCACTTAAGTGACAAAGACGAACAGAATGTGTACGCTTCGTTTGCTCAGGTTTACACTAACAAAAAGCACTGAAGAGCAGCAATATGGTTTTTTTTTTAACTTTAATATATGTATAAAAAAACACAAGAAAGGAAGGAATAACATTTTTGAGCAAATTATAGAAAATTATTGAAATTAGGTCACCTTAAGTACATTTGTTTTTTTTTATCAAATAGTGTCAATACTCGTATTATTTTTTTAGGTTTTGTTAGTCAAATTGTATTAAATTAAAATATGTTTAACATTGAAAATGTTAAGATACTTTATAAAGCTTAAATTAAGTTTTCATATTAATTTTTATTTAAATTTTATTTTTTTCAAATTTTCTTTTTTTATAATGGTTTTTATATTTTGTAGTCCGGCTATAGGTCCCTTTTTGTTAAATCATTCAACGTTTAATATTTTTTATTATATTCTATATTTCGACTCTTCTTGAGAGTCATCCTCAGAACCACGATCTACAAAGATAATTATAACAATTTACAATATTGTAATTATTATTTACATGATTTATTATGAATACAAAAAACACAAAAATGTTTTTAAAAAAATATTTTTTAAATATTTTAGAAATATATATATTGAAGTTTCTTAACTAAGAAATTTATGTAATGTTTACCCAGCATAAATTAATATTACTAAAACTATATCTACGTTATCCCCTTTGTTCTATTGTGCATATTCCACTAATTTTTACTAATCACTTTGCTATATATTATATTTTTAAATTTTAAAAACCAGTTTTAATAATTTAATTTAATAAGAATATGTTTATAATTTTTATAATAATGAGCCAAATCCGTGAATCATCACGTGCCGTCACAGAACACTACGTATTTTGTCAAAGTATCACAAAAATTTAAAATAATAACCATGACCACCCTCCCTACTTACTCCACCCCCTACACCTACGCACCTTCCCACTATATAATATTTATGCCTTCTGGCTTAGATGAACAAAGGCTTCTACATACCTAGCCTCTGAAACTCAACTCTTTCCACTAATTACGAGTATGTAGTGAAAATCTTCTCCACTCATTCTTAAGAGGTGGTTGCAGTGGATAAAAATAAAAATAGTAATAGTTTTCATATAGTTTAGTACAGGTCTTGGATGCAATTACAATTCACTAGTCGTACAGTCGTCTATTAGTCCAGAGACACTGAATTGTTTTTTGAACATTAATCTAGATAGATCAATTTCTATGTAAGGCAAAACTTTAAAAATTGCGAAAGTTAAAAAGTTGCAGACTTCCATACTGAAATGTCTCAATCTTGCCAGACCTTGGCATCTACAAAAGAAATGTTTAGTTGTTAATTTCATCGCTTCTTCTTGTGTGGCTTCTCCATTTCTGGTTTTTTTTAAGGAGCCCTCCAATGGGTGTCTACCAAAGCCGCCTCGAGTTTTGCTTTGATCTTGGCTCAAATTTATTTTTCTTTTCAGAAAATAGACATATTATTTTGGATTATTCGCTGCTCTAAGGAAATAATAATTATGAATCACGTTATATTTCAATCACGTATTACGTACGTGTGCCATCTACGATATTGTTTTAGTCTATCTTAGTATGTCTCAAATAACTACATCCACTACGCTTAATAATACTATAGCTTGGTTCTCCAGACATCGGGCTTTAAAGTTGCAATATATTTATTATTAATTCCACTAACAAAAAATTGTCACGTCATCTAGTGGCAACTAATATATAAAAATATTACGCAATTAATCAGACAATCAATGAATCTGAGTATTTTTCGTTTTCGTCTTTTTTCGTTTTCATTTTTTCCTGCTATTTTTATATAGCTAAATAAAGTTCATATATATAAATTACTATATAATGCAGTGTGCTCTACGTTAAAGAACAATTCACCAAATTCACCAACTCAGTATTTTCCAACATTGGCAATTCACTAACACACCATAGTGTGGTGAATAAGAACAGCGTGGCGGCATTTTCAAAAAATACACCATACAAAAAATAAACAGAAAAAGACAAAAAAAGATTTTATAACTATTTAAGATCATATACCATATATTAAACAAAAATTCACAATAACATTTACTTTATTAGACCAAAAAAACATGCTTAGCATTGAAAAATATATCGGAAATCAAATTTAAAATATTAGATTTTTGATTTAAAAATTTTTATTGAACATAAACTTTCAACTCTTGAATTATCTCTATTTAAAACTTCTACCAGATTGAGAGAACGTTTGTCAAAGTTTGTCATCAAGTTGCTCTAGAGTACCGGCACCTCCAAAATGCTGTAAGTTTATTTTAAGTTTGTTTTAATTATTTCTTGTAATAAAAATAATGAGATTCTCCATTTTTCACTAGAATTTTTCTTGTGTTTCTGATTTTACTACATATAGTCTGCAAGTTTTACTACCAGCCAATACTTAACGTTTGTTATCTCATGGATGGGCTTATTAAGCATACCATCGAAGGCGTTACAGAAATTCTTACTACTAACGGCGCTGAAACTTTCATCGATACTTTGGACTATGTTTTTAATGGGTTTGTGGGGGTTCTAGTTTACTTGTTGTTCTGCATATTTTTCCTCCGTATTGTTTGGATATATCTTCAACAATGGATTCTATTTATCAGAGAGATATGCCAACTGGTTCGTGAGTTGGACTTCGATTTCGAATAAGACAAGAGAAATGGAAGCTCAAAAAAAGTTTAATTCATTGTTACAATTATTCTATTACATCTTATAATTAATTATTATTTATAAGAACTGTCTTTGTTATGAAATAGAAACGTTTGTGTTTGTTTAAGTAAAAAACTTTTTTGTATTTAGTTTTTTGTATTAAATGATATGATTGAGTATAAAAACAACGAATAATATGAACATACATACAATAAAGTGTAATTAATATAACCTGAGGTACCTGAGGTATATATATATAAATATACATTACATGTAGTATATATATACTTTATATACTATATTATTCAAAAGCCATTTTAAGGCAAAGGATAAAGAAAATTTTTTTAAGCTAATTATTGGTGTCAGGCCCTATACTCTACTGAGACTAGAGGACGACAGCAAAAAGGAATAATTATTGATTTGCCATGTATTTATATAAGGGATATATGAATAAGAAAATAAGTAATAAGAACACTCCTAAAGTATGATTTAATTACTTTAATCAATAATATTATATTGTATATATTATAATCATATAATTATTAATTATTTATTTTATAGTAAATTTATAATTTGTAACATTTGCAACCATAATGATTATATTATTTATTATACCCCATTCTTTTATATAGTTATTGTTGCAAGTTATTTTTGGATCATTATTTCAATTCACTAGAACGTTTAACTTCTACTATCCGGTTCATTAAGTTTAGTTACAGAAAGGGTCTGTCATAATCGGTGCCTTTAAAACCGAAGCATATATGGAAAGAATTGCAATATCTGACTACCATCACTGGATTTGGAAGTACATTTATTAAGTTAGATCTAAACATATTCTTCGACTGATACCAGCAAAATGTCTACATTGAGTTCTTGAAAAATATTTAAAAAAAAAAATTATTTACGTGATTGACATATCTAGATTTGGTGTCAATCTGTCATTTTTGATAGAACTTTATGACACTTTAATAATGTTTAGGGTAATCGCTTAAAGTTTTTGTCATATAATATAAAACAGCTGTTAATTTCAGTATAATCTTGCTATTCTGAAAATTTCTAGAATGTTATATATTAATCTCGAGTGTTATACAGATTTACCAATAGAAAATGAAAATTGGATTAAAATTGAATCTTGATTAAAAAAGTTATACCAGATTCACCAGTCGAAAATGTTATGAGATTAATCAATCGAAAATAAAAAATGTACTAAAAGTAAATCTGGGGTGACAAAGTTATTCTAGATTTGTCAATCGATCACGATATTAATGCTACTAAGGTTCTAAGTGATTCTAATCCTTAGGTTTATTATACGGTAACACAATGGGCTTATAGTGAACCCTTTAGGATCGCCGGTATAACCTAACCTAAGTAAATGGTGAAAATTTATGTTGATTATAATTTTCATTAAATTATATTTTAACATTTAATTAAAAAATTATATTTTAAAATTATTATTAATATTATTTTCATTGCAATATTTAAATATTTATTTAAAAAAGTTATATTTTAAAAATAAATATAAACATTTAATTTGAAAATTATATTTTAAAACTAAACTGAATTAAATTTAAAAATTATATTAAGGAATTTTATATAAAAAAAAGTTAAGAATTATTTCTTAAAATTAAGTTTAGGAATGAAAGTTAAAAATTAAATTAAAAAAAATTGTTTATTAAATATAACAACAAAAAATAAATTTACTACACTAATCAGTAAATATGAGATAAAAAATGAACAATATATATACGTATGTATATAAATATTTTGTTTTTTTTTTACAAAAATATTTAAAATTTTGTTTAATTATGAATGAAAACGTAAATTATTGAATAAAAAAATAAATTCTAAAAGTAAAACGAAATTCTGTTCATACGTCAAAAACAATCAAATTCATTAAAGAAATTAAATCAAATACAAAAACAAAAAAAATAATTCTAAAAAAAAAAAATAAATAAATAACTAAAGTGAAAAAAAAAATTGATATCAAACCTAATCAAAAAAAAAAAAAACTAGAACAGCAGCCCCAACAACAAAAAATAAACAAATACATTAATGACAATGACCCTCACTTCCAACACAACTAAACCAACGCACATACGCTACTAAGTGCACACATATACTCACATCACGACGACTTTACTTGACTAATCTCATTGATTAAAATGCACATAAAAAACATAGAAGAAAAAAAGCGAAGCAACAGGGTCACTGCACGAAAAACTCAAAAATTTTCGTGAAAATTAAATAATAAATATTTAATAGAAACATGTACATATGTATATACGAACCAATATATATAATATAAAAATTTAAAATAATATAAATTATTAATATTTTTTTTTAGTAATATAGCACAAATTAAAATCATTATAAGTGTTGACTACTAAAGTCGAAAACCAACAAAAAAAAAAGAATAGCACAACAACAACAACTAAAAAGGAGGAAAGAAAGAATTTTATTAATTTAACGTGTAATACAAAAACAACAACTGAAATGTGCCAAAGCTTATCAGTGCAACACACATACGGCAAGCAAAAGCAGTAACAACAACAACAAAGCACACCAACAAGTGAATCAAATACGCGCAAATAAAAAACGTGTGTTTGGTTAAAAAACTCAAAAAAAAAAAACAAAAAAAAAAATGTAATTGAACTCTTAAAAAACATGTACATACGTACGTGTATGTGTGTGTGTTTAACAATTCAAATTGAATATTTATGTAAATAAATTTTTTGCTTAATATTAATAGAAATATTTAAAAATATTTAAATGACAAAGTGAACACGTTTTATGGCAAATTTAATTGAGCAAAAAAATACAAAAAGAAACAAAAAAAATAGGAAAGTGTTGAAAAAAAAAATACTTAAAGTATTTGAAAACTATTTAAATATTAATAAATAAATAAATCAATAAAAATAAATAATTAAATAAAAATATATATGAGTAAGTAAAAATATAAATAAATATGTGAAACTATATGAAAAAAATATAAGTTAAAATAAATATTTATTTATTTCTTTCTTTTTCTCTCTTTTCAATAAATTTTTACTTCATTTATTTACGAGCATTGCAGCAGAATCTTGCCATGAGATTTCCCCATGCTGGTATCATATAATCGCTTCAAATCGCAAGCAATTATACTGTATGTGTGTTTGCATGCATGCGTGTGTTTCTGTGTGTGTGTGTGTGTATATGTAGTTTACTTTTTTGTGACATGAGATTTCCCCAAGGAAACACACTAATTGTGTGTTGAATTATATATTTTTTTTTGGTTTGTTTTGTTTGTTGTTGTTTTTGCTTTTGGTTTTGCTGTGCTTTTTGTTGTTGTGTGTAAATTGGAATAATTTTAGATTAAAAATTCGAAAATCAGTGCCGCATGAGCTGCACTGGGTGGCTCTTATCAATTTAATCAATTTCTTTGATTTCAGCTAAATAAATCGCACTTGTCGGGGCATTTCTTCTCATATTCGTGGTATATAGAAAATATTTAAATTTTAATCATTTTTTAAAATTTAAAAAGAAATATATTGTTTTATAAATAAAATGAATAAATAAAAATATAGGAAAACTCTCATGCCTAAATATGGTATATTTTTTATTTTATAAGACATACTTACACACATAGTATTTAACAAAATATATATATATATATATACATATATTATGCTTGTAAATCACAAAATCTTAACAGACACATACACACATCCAGAACTATAAAGATAAAAATTTTTAGCACAGCGACATCTATGAGTAAAAATGCTGACGTGATGGTGTAGACTTTGTCATAATTTAAGTGAATTCATTTGAAATTTTGCTGTAACTTAACATTTGCACATCAAAAAACAGTAAGAGAATATCATATTATTTCTTGAATAATATACCTAGAACCATATAAAACGCTAAAAATTTGTACGGAAATAAAGTTGTGTCCCGAGCAGTACCATTTGTTGATTAGCTCGATTCCATGACAGTCGTGAAGACCATAACGACCTTGAACATCTCGAGAACCTCAAAGATTTTGAAGGCCTTGAAGACTATGAAGACTATGAAAACCATGAATATCTCGAATACTTTGAAGTTCTTGAATTCCTTGAAGACCGTGGAAACCTTGAAGTCCCTAAATACCATAAAAACCTTGAAGACCTTGAAAAAGTTGAAGATCTTAAACACCATGAAGATTTTAAAAACGTTAATGAACTTAAAAACCTTGAAAAAATTGAAAAATATGAAGATCTTGAAGAGCTTGAAGACATTAATGGCCTTAAATATCGTGAAGACCTTGAACACCTCGAAGACCTTAAAGATGTTAAAGTCCCTAAATACCATAAAGACCTTGAATATATCGAAGATCTTGAAGTAGATAGTCTCACTTGAGATCAACTATTTCTGCAATAATCTTTCATCAAGAAATTTATCATTTCTCACAATAGATTACAAATGGCTCAGAAACACAATACACATGAACCTTCATTAAGGTTCATAAATCTTCATAAAGCTTCATAAATCGGAAGTATTTAGTTTAATATCTGACCTAATGGAACACGGAACTACAGGATGCCACGCAGTCAGGCTTGACCTGCTCTTTCAGTTCTCTTGTAGTACCTCTCTTGTAGTCTACCGGTGCTTGAAGAAAAGACAATTGTGTCTATGTTCAGACTTATCTAATATTAGCCTTAAGTTATCGGGCCCACCGTACTTTAAAACACTCGACAATATTTCCAACATTAGTATTGGCTAAATACTTGTTTGCTAGTTCTAATATATCCATTCTTTTACCCTTTTCTTTTACGATGAATGTGGAATCAAAATTGAGGATGATTGGTACTTTCTTCCACTTTACCTACCAACCTAACCTAGTCGAGTGATTATTCTGCATATTCGTTGAGATATTCTTAAGTTCTAATATTATTCATCTCTCTTACACCTATCATATTATATTACAATAATTTAGAACTTTGTTCTATAAGAAAAAGACAAATAAAATTTTTTAACGAACGTACTAGATCAAAGATCTTGATCAAAGTCCGTCTTCCCAGCGACAATTTACTTTTTTTGGAAGCATCCAATTTATAGTTCCTTAATTATTCTCTTTTTTGTTTATTTAATTTTTATTTTTTATTTTATTTTTTTTATTTTCGATCGTTATAAAGACACGATTTGAAGAAGATATAACGTTACTCCAGGCAATCCAGAAACGTAGAATCCGATTGAAAATCTTCAACCAAAAATTGATCTAATCTAACACGCATCATTCATCGTATAAACAGAGAAAAAAAAAGTGTGAAAGAAATGAAGCAAAAAAAATAAAAAAAAATTTACTGCTTCTTAATTAAATCCAACAAATTTGGACGTCAAATTTTTTATAAGCACGTCACAGATCAGATCAACGCAGACAGAACAATTTCATTTTTCAATGCGTTGATAAAAACGCTGCTGCGACGCTTTTATGAATAATAAAAACAACGACGGCGACGGTGTTTTGTGTTTGCTGCTGCTGTCGCTTTTTTATCACCGCACAGAAAAATACGAAGAAATAAAGTGTGCAAGCAATGCAACAACAACAACAACATACAAACTCAACACCGACGACCAATGCTGCGACAACAGCAACAATGCTGCGCATAATTGTGAGTATGGAAATGTAACACAACAAGTGAGAGCACAGCAGCAGTGCTGTTAATTTACAGTCACTGCTGTTGACATTGAGTACTTATGTTCTTAACATACAGCAAAAATGCAGCTGCTATTAACAGCACTCAAAGAGTAGAAATATTTTATTAAAAGAAAAATGTTATTAAGCAAAAAAATTAAGAGCACAGTTCTTTATAATGCCTTGAAAAGTAAATAAAATTGTAATAAAATAAAAAAAATAATTAATAAATAAAAATAATTAATATATTAATTCTTTTTCTTATAACGGATTTTGTAACTACAAATGCACATATACCTATCTGATTCACTCTCTGTAGAAATTGTGCATACTCTTCTCATTAAATATGGCCTCTTAAATTTCGCTCGTGAGAAGATCATTCGTTAGGAATGCAAATAATTTTCTTGTATACCGCGGCGTTCAAAGATCGTCTTTTTCAGTTTGTGTTCTTTGCTTTTCTTTACTTTACACTTTGTTCTCTTCTTATTCCCTAATATTTAATGCCATTTCATGTGTTATCGTTTCATTGCACAAACTGTCAATACATTACCTCCCAACACTACCCCTAATTCTAACAACCTCTTCCACATTCACTAACACAGATATATATTATTAGTTTTATTTTTTTTTATTTGTTTTTATTTTCTAGGTCTTTTGATATTCAATCCATTTTTCTTCTCTTGTGGTTTCTAATTTTTTCCATGCATTTATTTGCGTTTCTATTGCGAATTGTACGCAGTATTTTTCTTCTAGTTTCTCTGACATTGCAATTTTTTTTGCCATTTACTGAATCTTAGAAATATATACATATATACACACATGTATGTATGTATGTAAGCACTTGCGTACTTACAACAGCACTAAATATATTATTTAGTGCAGAAATAATTTAGGGTTTTAAGAGTTGTGAAACAATGGATGATCCGAACTCCGGATTTTAAAAAAAGATTATGACGAAATTTTATTTTGACAAAAATCAAATATTCTTTAAGACCTTACAAATATTAAAGTAAATTTAAATTAAAAATTAATAAATTAATAAAGATAAATTAAACTGGCTCAAAACACGAAGAGGTCCTTAAGGCAGTTCCTGACCAGACCCTTTAAAATTTTTTAAATTGTTTACTACTAAGACGCCTCTATGCTTGATAACAAGGTAAATGACAGAATATTTGATAGTAAGGTAAGTGAAAGAATACTTGATAATAAGGTGAGTACAAAAATACTTGATAATAGATAAGTCAAATAAGATAACTGAAAAAATATTCTTCCATGCTCTTTACCTAAAATTTTTCTTTTAAATACCAGACCATAATCTAAATTTCCTACTATCCAATTCAATAATAAATGGCTTCATCACAATGAAACATTTGGCAGCAATACCCAAATTTGAGATTACAATTAAACTATTTGAAACTCTCCTTCACCTCAGAAAAGTTAGGATATATGTCAGTATCTATCATTCGCTAGGAGATGATTCAAAATATTTAGAGTCACTTTTCTCACAGACCTGACAAAGCTGACAGCCCGCAAAGAAAGCTACTTCATCAAGATTATAGGCGTGTCACATTGGTCACTCTCATTTGAATGAGGAAATTGAACCTTTTTGCTCATATGCTGATTACAGCGAACCTTTCCGTCTACATATGAATAATGTTAATCCGTGGTATTACAATGGGCCATTTTTTGAGTTCCAATGGGCCTTAGGCACTTAGTGGTGGTCTCACTCCAACCTAACCAAACCTATAACCAAGCTACCACTGTATCATTAGATGATGTTTTCAAAACATCCAAGCTTGTGCCAGAATATCATATAGTTCTTAATGAGGTGTTGGATTATTCCTTGGTTAGTCAGAAATCAATAAGGAGTTTTTGGGACATTGTTGGCAATTGAAGGACCGATAAATTGATTAGATGTGCACAACACTATCCTTAGCATCAACTCCAAAGGTCCCAAATTCTTTTATGTTAATCATAGTTATGAGTATACTGATTCTATTGCTGGTTAGAATATTAAACTTCACAAAACATAACAACCGTACAAGATAATATAAAATTATATTTTGACATTAACATTTGAAATGTTAAACCTCAAAAATATATATAATCTTTCCCAAGGTATATAATATCACGAGATTATATTTGTAAGATGACATATATATCTATGTTGATCTTTATATACAATGTATAGTTTGAAGGAGAAATCTACACATTCATCAATCTCCACCGTATTATGAAAATATACCGAGACGATGTGGAATCGAGTATAGTTTGTATACAATGGGAATTGAATTTCTTTTATTCTTTGAGAACAATAGATGTCTAACTGTCTTCACTGAGCTTATAGCTTTATTATAATCTTTATTATAGGTGATTATTATTATAACCATAAGTCGACAAAATATAATTAAAATTACTTTATTGTTTTAATACATAATCATTTTTAAATTATATATTTTATTATCACCAACTGCAGGCTACACTTTCAAAAATATATAATAAGAATTACATAAATATAATTTCTACATTAAATTTGATTTCTAAAATAAATGAAGACTAAAAAAATCATGTTTCTTAATAGAAACTATTGTTTTATTAGAGATGTATCTTGAACAGTAGTGAATCACAACAACACAATTTTATTATTTATTAATTAATTGATAATATCGATATATTTAGAAAACCACTGATGGTGGGTATTTACTCAAAACAGCTGTTTGGTGGACCAAAAATTTAATTAATCAATAAATAATAAAACTTTGTTGTCGGGATTTACAACTCCTCATGATCCAATATTAATTTCCATCACATAATTATAGATCATTATGAAGTTATTTTAAAAGATTAATTGTATATAGTATATTGTGTCAATGGAAGGTCTGCAGAACTATAACAGTTATACTGACAAGCTATAATTTTCTGAAGACACTAAATAAAATACAAAGTGGAGATCAGAATTACAAGTAATGACATATGTAGGATATATAGGAACCTGAAAACACCGACACCTTTAGAACATTTCTTATGCTTGTGTTTTCCATTATTAGGAATACCCCTCAATTGCCAATGGTCGCAATAAATTGGTAAGTAGGAATACATTTTAGAATATTTTTTAGATTCTCTAATCATAACGAGCCATTCTTTGGGCTGAGGTAGGATCTAGGCACAAGGCTGCTACTCGAAACTACACTCTAGTTGACATTCTTTTAAAGAATAGTTCTCTGATTGGCATTTAGTCAGCCAAAATAGGCTAACCTTAAGTTATGGAAATTTTAATAAAGTTTAAAAAACCTAACTATCTAATTATTATCTTATTAACATATATTACATTAATATTTATAATGATAATAATCATTATAATGCATTATAATTATAAAAACGTTTGTAGAAAAAAATTTTAATTATTAATTTCAAAAAAATTAATTTCAAAGCTTAGAGAAGAGAAGAGAATTTTTTGCCATCTGAAAAATCTACAAAAGTCAAGTAAACTAACAAATTCTAAATTCTTCTCAGCAATATTGAATAATTTAAAATACGTACTTAAAGATACTTTTTAGTGCCTAGCCTTGAACTTGATGCAAACCAAAGTTCATATAAAAATTGCTGTCGCTGCTGCTCAGTTTTGCTGCTGTTGATAATAATAATGATGATACATGACGTTTTACAAAGAAATCTGTAATTGTAAATACTAAACACTAAAATCTTAAAATATGGAAAATAAAAA